CTTAATCATTTCTTTTCTATATTGCAAGAAGACTACTAACACTACCTGCATAAGTGAAAATTTTTCTATTCAGTAGCTGTGGAGTAAATATTTTATATAATAATACATAATTTATAAATAAATAAATTTTGTGTTTATTTGCGAATGAAGTATGAATTATGAAACATCGAGAGAAAGCATTTGAAATAAGAAAATTTTTATAGTAGATATATATTCTATACACCTTATATATACCTTCTCCAAACAGAACATATTGGAATTTCAGAACGGAATTAAAGAAACATAAGAAACGATTATTTATTAAACATATTCAAATATTTATAATTTTATTAAATTTTATTATCCACGATAAAATGGTAATGTCTACAATTTTCTTAAAATATTAAAATATTTATTGATTTAGTAGTAATAGAATCAGAATGATTCTGTACAATTCCATAATTTCTTTCTATGTCAGTGTATTCCAACTTTTACCGATAAAATTATTTAATTCATTTACATTATCGGACTATCTTTAACCCGCATACAGGGTGTTTGACAATTCAGCCCAGACGTTTTCGTGGAATATTTGGGTCGAGTAAGTGAGCAAGTCATTTTAGAACTTTCACATTTTTCGAAATTACAAACAGCTGTATCATTTATTTCGCGGTAGGTATCGTGTCGCGTTAACGTTAGAGGATATGAAAGTATAATTATTTAATAGTAATCAAATTATATTAATTCAGCTGGCTTCTCGCTATTTACTCGACCCAGTAAAAAATTTATATCGAGTTTGCAGTGGCATCCAATGCCGACCCACATCATGACACCATCACCGCCCATTTGATGACGATTTCCTCTTTTCTTATGTCATAGAAATAATGGTTCTAGTCGTCAGAACCATTTGAATTCAATTCTTTTTTCTTCACCGCTGAACACGAGTGCACCTATGTGTATTATAGCTCTCGCATTATAGCTCTCCACTTCTTCTTCCATTCGAGTAAACTGTAAATGGGCACCTTTATGTGCCGCGGGTAAGAGTGTTTGTCGTTTCAACGTACTCGCGTAATGTCCTTGCTCCGTTGTAAAATATGACAACACATTTTTTAAATTAGTTGCGATTCCTACCGCTCGAACGATTTATCATAGTAATAGTCTGACGTGAAATTAAATGAAAAACGACGTGTACAATCGCTCGTATTTTAGATTCTGATATAATACAAAACCGTGTCCTTTATTTTTCTACGCTTTTCAATTATCCGATATACGATCATACACAGTATTGCAGCTCTCACTTAATAATTTTGTCATTTTAACGACACTACAATTTTCTGACCGTACAAGATTCAATGGATGTAACTGTTTCATGAGTTCTATCCGTTTTCTTTTCCCTCCACCGAATTCAGTAATAATGAAACGAAGTGTTTTCTTAAATAGACTTTATTTAATTCTTGTAACTGGATGATTATTTAATACATTATATCGAGAGAAATAAATATTTTGGGACAGATCAATTTCATTTTAACCAATTCAGAGAGACACAGAAACGATATCAAACAAAACAAAAATGTTATCGATTCATAAAACTAATCGCATGCATGTTCTGAAATTTCGCGCGCTTTTTTGAATATTTCTAACAAGTAATATTTTAGCTAGACGAAAAATTTTCAATTTTGTTTCCTGTTACAGAGCTATTGTTAGTTATAAGATGAGTAATTTCTTTACATTCTACATTCGTTTTTATTTTTTGTGTTCA